AGTCCCAGCTACGTGGGAGGCTGAGGCAGTAGGATTGCTCGAGCCCAGGAGTTTGAGGTTGCTGTGAGCTAGGCTGATGCCATGGCACTCTAGCCCAGGCAACACAGTGAGACTCTGTCTCAAAAAAAAAAAAAAAATAGAAATTAGCTGGAAAAACTCATGAGATTAATAAGATGCAAGGAAAAGTGATTATGTGTGTTTTTTACATCAAGTTGGTTAGAAAGGCAAGAAAACTAGCCTATCAGGAAATTTTAGGGGGAAAAAACGCAATAGCAATCCTATAGAGGGTGTCCCTATAAAAGTTAGTGGGATGAAAAGATCTTAATGGAACTCAGATATCATATAGCATGGCTTGATTCATTGTGTGGGACCTGAAAGGATAATTTAATTGATGGCAAGTAGGTTTGGAAGAATTATCATTACATGTGAAGAGACTGCTAATTCACTAATAGAAACTATCCCTCTCCACAGTTGTCGCACTCCCCAAACGCACAGATCCAAAAGCTCTGATAGCAGCTAAGATGTTTAATTTGAATCTCAAAGGAAAGTAATTCGGAGACTATAGGAAGTAGATTCTATTCCATGAGTTCTGTTGCCAAGGCAGCTTTGAATTTCTCTTCACATATTTACTAATATAGGAGAAACTAGTTGAACTATCCACCCAAGAACATGCTTACTCTAAGATGACTACTATACAGTATCTCTGAAAATACTCAATTCTAAAGCTTCTTTAAAGGCCCTAGAGGAAGGGTACATGTGCACAAGTGCTCACCTGACCAAAAGCCCCTCTCTCTGTCTAGCTGAGGTAATGCTCTCATATGTTAACATGTAGTAAGACAAAAAAAGTTGTACCTTTGCTGCAGTCTTTGATGGCCATCTCTTTCTTGTCCTAAAAGGAAAAACAACATTAATGTGTTGCCCTAGTTTTAGCTCAATGGCCCAAAGGCTCAATGACATGATCTTATTAATAACTGTTGTGTAGAGATACAGAATGCTTTTCAAAGAAATCCCATGAAAACAAGCATGTTATCTCCAAGATAAAATTCAAAATTAATGTGGGGATGGCCCTGACCTGAAAGCCTCCTAGTAACAAATTATTCAAGTAGCTTCTTTCCTAAAGTGTCTTTAGATTGCACTAATCAACCTATTACTTTTGCAAGACACTTCACATTAGAATGCTGATGTTGAGAAAACTTTGTGATCAATAAACAGGGCAAATGATATGTGAATAACTGGATTAATTACCCTCCTCTTTGGACAGTTGTTATACCATCACACCCAAAGTGGTATTTTTCCAGAATGTATACAGATGGTCCATCTGCAGACACTCAGTGTGGCTTGTCATGTAGTCTCAGTTATAAACTTTAATTTATCCATTGATGAAACAAAATACAAAACAATTCACCAAATAAAATATCTAATTAATTTAACTTGTTGAGTCTAGAAGCATGGCATAGTGCAAAAAAACACTGGATGTCAAGAGAACCAGATTCGGGTCCCAGCTCTGACCCTAAACTGCTGTTTGACATTGGTCATGCTACTTTTGTTCACTAGGGCTCAGTTTCTCCTCTAAAATATGAGCAGGCTGGACCAAATGCTATATAAGATGTCTTCCAGCTCTAAAATGTCTTTTTTGCTCAAATTAGAAGTTTTCTGCAATATTAGAGAAATGTTATTTTAAATTAATGTGCAATATTCCTATAATGCCTACTGTAGCAAGTACTAAATATTTTGCAGAATATTTTAGAATGAAATCTACCAAATTGTGTTTCAGGATTCAATCAAACAGTTTCAGGATGGGGAGTCAATACTGAGAGTATGGGGTATCTTTTTAGGGTGATGGAAAAGTTCTGGAACTAGATAGTGGTGATGGTTGTATAGCATTGTGAAGGTATTTAATGCCACTGAACTGTACACAGTCATGCAGCACGTAACAATGTTTCAGTCAATGGTGGACCACATACATGACAGTGATTCCATAAGATTATAATGGAGCTGAAGAATTTCTATCACCCAATGAGGTAACAGCCATCTAACGTCACTGTGTAACACATTACTCACGTGTTGGTGTGATGCTGGTGTAAACAAACCGACTGTGCTACCAGTCTTATGAAAGTACAGTTAGGTACAGTACATAATACTTGATAATGATAACGACTGTTACTAATTTATCTATTTACTGTATTATACTCTTTAGAGTGTACTCCCTCTACTAAAAAAAAAAGTTAACTGTAAAACAGCCCCAGGCAGGTCCTATAGGAGGTATTCCAGAAGAAGGCATTGTTATCAAAGGAGATGACAGCTCCATGCCTGTGTTGCCCCTGAAGACCTTCCAGGGAGACAAGATGT